CTGAGGGAGTGATGGGATGCAGCACGACCAACATGGCACAAGTGAGAGGGGTGAGCAGTGAGTAAAAGGACCGGCGAGCGTTGAGGACATGTACCCTAGAACGCTTAAAGGTGGAGCGCTCTGTTGTTATAGCATAAGGGACCACATGTTCTCACTCATAGATGGGAATTGAACAATGAGATCACTTGGACACCGGAAGGGAGACATCACACACCGGGGCCTATTGTGGGGATGAGGGAGGAGGGAGGGGGATAGCATTAGGAGATATACCTAATGTAAATGACTAGTTAATGGATGCAGCACACCAACATGGCACATGTATACATATGTAACAAACCTGTACGATGTGCACATGTACCCTAGAACTTAAAGTATAATTTAAAAAAAAATTATTTTCTGCTAGTCTTTTAATCTGTTCCTATTATGGCAGGAACTTTATGTATAATTAAGTTCTCCAAGCCTCAATATACCCATCTGTTAAATGGAGATAATAATAGTAGTTATCTCATTTGGATGTGATAAGGATTAAACAAAATAATGCATGTAAAATTCTGCATACGATGCCTAGAATATAATAAATACTCAATATATGTTAGCATTTAATATTTATTATATTATGTTACATAACTTGTTTAATCTTTTTGCCTTCATTGGAGCAAACTTTTAATGCTGTTTTCTTTATGTATTTTACAGATTATACTTACAGTACAATTAACTATTTTTCTTTTGGCATACAGTTTCATGTTTCTAAACACATGTATAGATTTCTAAAACTATCACCACAATAAGAATAAAGAATATTTCCATCATTTCCCACAACTCTCCCATTCTGTTCCTTTATAGTCACTCCTCTCCCCAACTCCTAACCCTTCGCAGCCACTGATCTGTTCTGCATCACTATAGTTTTGCATTTTGGAGACCGTTATATATATGCGGTTATATATTACGTAACTTTTTAAGCCTATCTTCTTTCACTCAGCAGAATGCCTTTGAGATTCATACACGTTATGTATCCATAATTTGTTATTTTTTATTAATGCTTTCTTTAAGTATGAGGACATTTCAAGTTTATGGTCATATATTTCTTTTATAAGAGTCCATCTGATAGGTATCCCTTAATAGAATCTTTGTATTAAATAACACCTGACACAGTTTAGTGTGCTACAACATGTAGTGTGGTACAACATTATCAAACAACTGTGTTCCTTTAATTACTAATGATATTCATGGAATAAAAGGGACCTGAAATCTAATAAATGTGAGAAATTCTGAATTCTATAAAAGTAAATTGGATTGCTTGCCATATGATTTCTCATAATTTTTAACATATGCTATGAAATGCAAAATTCCTAAAAGAAGATATGGTTTTACAAGTGCTTATCAAATTATCAAATTTAATTTTTTTCTGCTGAACAACTACCACGTTGTATTCCACAGTTTGAGAAACATTAAATGAAAAATGAAAAATGTGGGCTTTTGAGTCTGGGTTTGAATCTTTGTCCTGGTACTCACTAGCTGCTTGATCCTGGACAAGTTTAATATGCATTAATCCCAGATTCTTCATGTATAAAATGGGACTAATAGTACTTTCTTTGTCAAGGTTGTGAGGATTACACAAAATTTACTTTATATGTACACATAGCACAATATATGCCACATGGTAAGCACTCAGTAAATGGTAGCTATTTATTATTAGAGGCAATATATAGGAGTGTTTAGAATCACAGGCTTTGAAGTCTGGTAGATCTCAATTTTCTTTTGGTTGTTTCTTCTTAGCTGTTATTTAACCTCATTAATAAAGTGAGGACATTGCTTATGAGGATTTAATATGATAATTAAATATTTAGTACAGTTAACCATGAGTGGTTCCCTGAGCACTTTCTTGAGAAAGTAACTTTTTATGTAATCACTCAGTAGTTTATAGAGAAATGCATAAATATTAACAACTAAATTCAGACCCAGAGTATTCTGATGCAGAGTCATAATTAGAGCAGAAGAAATTTTACTTCCTTTCAATATTGGAGAGGACATATTTCCAATGTATATACAAAAAAGCAGGGGAAGTAAATTGCTACTTATCCTATGTTTGGATTAGTATTAGGGAATGAGAGTAAATTCACCTACTTATACACAGGAAAAAAATAGATACTTATGGCCTTTATTAACATTAATAGATAATTAAGTTTAATATTTATGAAAAGATACTACATTCTCTTAAGTCATGGCCTTTTTATTTGCAAAACAAAGCAACAAACAAAGGTAAACCCCCCCCTCCACTATTTCATAAATAACTGTATTAGAAATGCTTTTTAAATCTGGATAAATCTTATTAATAATATAAATATACATTTTATGGAAATAACAAATGTGCTTTTTAATGGCACCATTAGTAGTTTGGTGATTTACCATATCAAATCACTGGTGCAAGACTAGTACTCAAATCAACTGAAGTAAAATAAGTTAGAGTATTTTTGTTTATTTTGCTTATAACTCAAATATTTATGTCAGAATATTAAGATAGAATTATAAACAGAAAATAGTACATGCATTTTATATGTAGGTTTGTTTAGAAACTTTCTTAAAAAGCCCCCCTTTTTGGTTATATAGCCAGCATAAGATTAGTAAATGTCCCACTGATAATGTTTGGTGCCTCAAACAGTACAAAATAGAAGAGAAAAAGAAATCTTATAGAGCGATTTCTAGAAATAAGTAGATCCTTCAGCTTAGCAAATGGGATGTAAGTGAATTATGTAGATGAGCATTATGTTCTCAAATAATTTGATACAATAAAAGCCTCTAGTTCTTTAAAAAAATTAGAAAAGAATATTTTCAATTTGGTATTTACTTCTGACTTCTTGAAAATACTTCCTGCTAACACACTTTTTCTTTTGTACACCTACACTAGAGATATGTAAGTATTGATTTGAGAAATGAAAAATGAAAAACTGTGAAAAGATTTCATAATTTTCAGATAGCTATAATGTTTTGGAGGCATCTTAACCCCACTCTGCTATCTAATTGTCTTATAAAGCAACAGACCCAAAACCTTGTGTAAGTTAGTTGAGCAAGATATATAGAGGATATATAGATATATAGACTGGCCACAAGTAAAATAGAAAAGGCAATTTATCTTTGATTAGCTATTCTTCTCTTACATATTACCTTTCTCCATCTTTTTATCTTTACTCTTTTTTCACAGAAACTCCATTATCTAGAATTCTTATTTTACCCTCTGCCATTCTGAGCTTTCCACTGTCACATTTCATTTTATATTAAAATTTGTCTCTTTTCTCTTGTAGAAATTTTAGGCCCCACAGGCCAGCTAGTTAATCTGATATTCTAACATAGACTAATATTCCAATGATAGTGATTTAGAGTTTGAGAACCAACTAATGTATGTGAAGATGTCCTTTTGAGAGTTAGTGAGCACATCTACCTCTCTCCAAGCTCACTGCCTTTCCCCAAACCTACCCCAACATCTTTAGACTGATCCATTAGTAAATTTAATAGTGAGAATGTACATCTAGAAAATGGGAAATGGTAGAATAGTAGGTTATTCAATGAGAAATTTTGAGCCAGGCAAGTTTTTTGCTGTCATATTATATGGTATACAACAAAACCTGTTCTTTATAGGTTCAGTCCTGTGACTTTGTGTCATTTTAAATGACTTCTGAGTCTCATTAATGTTTTTTTCCTATGTAGCGAACCATTCATAATATTCTCTGGTGGGCTGTCCTATGACAAAGCTTGTAGAAGACCAAGTTTAACCATCATGCATGGAAAAGCAATTACAGTACTTGAAATGGATCATCCGATTGTTGAATTTCTAACTTTATGTGAAACGCCCTATCCAAATGGTAAGTAACTAAAATGAAACTATTAATGTTGAAAATCATTTTTGAAATGACAAGTTTCTAACAAAATTAAGGTTAAATATTTTCAGTTTTGGCAGTGGATGTCTACTGTGGTACAATGCTGTGAGCTACAGGTGCTGGAACAGGTTCTGCAATTGTACCTACTTGACAAACTGGAAATAACACAGATGTAGTACAGCAATCCTGGCATTTCAGGTTCTAATATCAGGTAAGTGCTTTAAACTTTGATTAGATGGTGGAAGCTGAGCTGGGAGGGTCTGATAAGGGTCCAGGGTGAAATCACTTGGGGAAGCTGAGGTCTCTTAATAGCCTCTCTCAGACCAGCTCCATCAATTCCATCCCAAAGCCAATCAAAGTTAAAGCACTTACCTGATATCAGTAATCTGTAACTGTGGTGGTGCTGCATCTGTTTCACATCTGGCTTTGCTTCAGATGCACCTGCAGCACCTCTGATTACTCTAGGATTGCGGATGTGTGGATAATGACTTTTTAAAATTTTGAAAATAGTCAGAAGGGCCTTTGGGAGGAGAAATGCTTATATATTTTTATTATCCTGAATATAAAGACTTTTTGTAAACACAACAACTAGTTATGTTGTTATGCAATCTGTATAATGAAATCTAATGATGATGAAATATTTTAATAATGTGGCCAGGTGCGGTGGTTCATGCCTGTTATCCCAGCACTTTGAGAGGGCAAGACAGGCAGATCGTTTGAGTTCAAGAGTTCGAGACCAGCCTGGGCAACATAATGAGATTCCATCTCAAATAAATAAATAAATAAATAAATAAATAAATAAATCTAAAAAGTGAGAAAAGTGAAAACATAAAAAAGGAAATACACATCATGTTACAACAACATAGTATGTGTATATACATTACTATGTTTTTAAGAGGGAATATGCAGATATAAGGGAAAGAGCACTGGACTTGAGGACAAAATATGTGAGGTTATGATTTAGCTCTGCCACTTACTAGCTAGGTGACCTTGGGCAAGTCACTTTACATTTATGAGTTTTATTTATCATTTGTAGAAAGAGAATAGTAATATGGTCTCCACATGACTACTGGAAGGTTAAGTGAGCATACTTCCTAACTATAAACATATATATGTTGTGAGTTCCATTATTATGTGTATTAACTTACTTTATTTAGTCTCACATTTAAAAGATGGGATAAATTGATATTAAATAATAGTGTAGCACTTTATATCCAAAGTTACTAGGGACAGACAATTTACTTATGTTTTTAATTGTCAAATAATTATTGAATCATTCTATGGCCCCAGTACTACAAGAACTTGTTGAGCATACAGATAAAGTATTAAACTAATCTCTGATGTCAAACTGCAAAAAATCTGGTCAGATGAGTGAGATTATTATGACTTGTTAAGTTTAAGTAATGAAAGACCTTAATTAAGTGCTGAGTTGTATGGTTCAGAGTATAAATAATGTATTAATTTTTAAGCTAAATAGTCATGGTTTCATGCATAGTAATAGCAGTGTTTGGAAAGAGAGAAAGGTAAGTCTGATTATGAGACAGTAGAGTTGTTTAGAGAACAGAAGAAGAGAGAAACTGTCTTGTAATATTTATGGATCATCAGAATATAAGTGTTCTTTGGAGTTACAAAAATGAATGATGAAAGAATGCATGAAGAAAGAACAGAGGACCAACAGCTGAGCTTAGGAAAATGCCTCCTATGAAAAGCCTCGAGAAAGAAGGTGTGTGAGCAATAGAAATTGAGAATGTGTGGTCTGTGTGTATATAAATGTCTGCACGTTGGTAGAGATGTTAGGACAATTTCTAATAATGTTCAATGAAGTATAAATGCAATGTAACCATTCCTATTCACTTTCAAGCCATATATAAAAACCTTTGTTTTTTAGGAAAGTGGTAATGAGGATAGACCTTTTCACTTGTCACAAGCTAGGAGATGTACTTTAACTCTCTTGACAGTGCCAGAAAGGTTTCTGACCATATACCCATCTCAAGCAGAACCTAGTCCAAACCAGGACCCCAGAAACCTTCCTAATCTAGCTCCTTCGTTAGAGGATTATTCTCCAAGTAAATCGCATCCTTGAGTACATCCCCAGCTGTAATGTCTGGGATTATCATTGGTGTTGGATTGTGCCCCAGGACTCTTGGGGCACAATTGGTAGCTCTTGGAGAGGAGGGTCAGTAGCGTTAATGAGGCCAACTTGAGAGATGAGAATTAGGGTAAAAGCCAGTTCTGAGGCCAGATCTCCTTGTGAGGATAACTCTAATATTATTTCCCCCTTTCTGGGAGAAGGAAATATGGACCTGGCAGATTTGTACAAAATCCTTTCCCAGGAGGTGTACAGGGGCCAATGGGACAAGCAGAAATGACTGCCAATGAGGAGTCCTAGTTGGAAGGGGATCAGTAAAGATTAGAGACTACCACAAATGTGTTGGCTACCCTGACCATCTGGATGAATTTAGAACTCTACGAAGGAACACTGAAAGCATGCCAGGGTTAAGGAGGACTAAAGAAAGGGCCTTGGGCCATTGCAGGCTAAATGGCACACCACAATTCTTTGCCAATTGGGCTTTTATTATTCCCTTGGTCTGTTTCACCAGTCCAGAGGACTAGAAGTTGTAAGCACAATTGAAATGTTGATAAATAGGCCAAATTATACAAATGTTTTAAATAATTTGCTCTGCAAAATGAGTTCCTCGTGCATTATGAACCCCTTAAGAGACTTCTCATGTTGGTATAAATTTTCCAACAGGTCCTTAACTACTGCCATGGCTGTGGCCTGTTGACAATAGAAGGCTTCAGTGCAATGCTAAAACATGCAAACTGTAACTAGTACATACCAATATCCTTGAGAGATGGGGAGCTGAAAAAAATATTGTTGCCATGCCTCAAAGGGACTTTTTGGTAATGTGAAGTGGTCCATGAAGGCGTGAAATGGTTTTCCAATATGGTATTGTGGACATATTTCACACAGATACTAAGGTTGTGAGCTATCCCAAGGCATGCTTGCCATCTGTGTAAGTAATTGGCCATTTTACCTTTGGCTAAAAGACATGTCTAGTAAGAGCATGCAGTTCTGCCTGTTGGACAAACCTGACATCAGGAAAGATAAGTAAAGTGGCAGAATTAAGCAAGTTATATTGGGTCATGGTAAGGGAAGGTGAGAACAGGAAAAGAATTGCATAGTTTGCTAGGCTTCTTGTGACGTGAATTGAGGAGAGCCCCATTAGAGTGTGCAACACAGACAGTGAGGGGGGCCCCGTTGCTATTTTCACTGTGGCTTTTACAAAAGAAGAGACAACATCAACTTCTTTGAGACAAGGAGACTATAGTATCCTATGGGTCCAGTTTGTGTCCAATTCTGATATTTTAATTCATCTAGTTAGTTAGATTTTAAAAGGAGAAATACCCTGAATGTCCCCAGAGCATCCCTAGTCTGGACTGGGGGAAGAGGACTAGGGGACTCCATCAGGATTTAGTTATAACCAAATATTAGAGGATCCTACGAGAATTCAGAATCTAGTCCAGTCCATAGCCAAATAACAAGGACTTGAGGGCAATGCACAATGTTAGAATCTAGTAACAGATAAACTTTTGCTTTACTTAGAAGCATAACTTTTCCTCTCCACATTGATCATATAAGAAATCTCAGATATTAGAACCTCTTGAAGCTAGATGGCCAGACCAAGTCAGGCGTTAGATTTTACTTATAGTCTTAAGGTTCTTGGGCCTACCAGAAAGTGACAGTTTTTACATACTCACTGTAAAGCTAGGAACTCCTGAAGACAGGCATTTTAGGCACATTCTTACATATAACATTTCAGTCTATACCTTGGTAATATAACCAATGTTCCCAATTGTTTCCTGTTTTCAAGAGAGATAAGATTTTTATTTAACTTACATAAATAAAAATAAGAATACTCATTTATAGCTTCTGAATTTTAAGGAATCAAGTAGGGAAAAAAAACAAATGCTTCCACCTTTGTTCAACAGAGGATACTTTACCAAAATACTGCAAACTATAGATAGCTTATGTCAGAAAATTTCCTTGAATTTGGAAAATAAAACATTTAAGCAACAAAAACATCATCCTTATCAATTACTTAATTTCATTTAAATAATTTTGTTTGGTTGGCCAGGTGCAGTGGCTCACACCTGTAATCCCAGCACTTTGGCAGGCTGTGTGGTAGGATAGCTTGAGGTCAGGATTTCAAGACCAGCCTGCACAACATAGCAAGACCTGTCTCTACTAAAAGGCAAAAAAATTATCTGGGTGTAGTCATACATGTCTGTAGTCTTAGCTACTCCAGAGGCTGAGGTAGGAGGATGAAGCTTGAGCCCAGGAGATGGAAACTGCAGCGAGCTATGATTGCATCACTGTACTCCAGCCTGGGGAACAGAGTAAGACTGTGTTTCAAAAAAATTTTTTTTCTTTATTTTGATTAGCAATTTTAGACTATAGCTCATTGCAAGTACGTCTAGAGAAGAATTTAAAACAATTGCTGTGGATGACAAAAAGCCAGAAAAATCATAGCCAAAGATACGATGAGAATTTTCAATTGACAAGGCAATTTAGATATTTTGGTGGCACACAATCATTTAACATAATAATCATTATTATGACACATATCTTGGCATATCAGAATTTTAGGGATCCTATACAATTTCACACATTTTAATAACACACACAAATATAACTTCAGGGAAGTTAAACACCATTCCTTATTTGACAGAACTTCCTGTATTATTTACCAAATAAACCTAATCATTTAATATCTGTACAAGATGAGAGATAAACCCTTTGAGGCTCTTCAGGGGGGCCTATGTGGAAAATCATAAAATTAATTTTAGGCCAAAAGGCTTAATTTAAGATTTGGGCCCTGGAGAGACCTGCCAAAGTTGTCAAAAAGTTCAAAAACTACTTTCTTTAATAGAATGGTAGTTCACTGCTAAATAATAGTTACTTATTCAGTCAAAGTAAGAAT